CAGGAGGGCCGACATACCTGGCCAGAGCTATGCATGCAGACTTGATTTCCATAGCCAGTCCTTTTACAGGAAATCCTCAGCATTTTCATTATTTATCCATCAGTTCAGAAGCTTCTAAGCTAACAGGAAATGTGAAGACATCGCATCCTGTTCAATAACAAGATAAATGAGCTTAGCTTGGGGCAAGGGATCAAAACAGTATTGATTACTTGTACTCAAGAACAACTCTGTAGACATATGGAAGCTTAGTGCATCAGTTGTCCTTTGGAAGACCTCCTTAGTCATTCGATTCACAGAGGGCTGAAGTTAAACTTCTCACTACTTTCCTTTTATTATAGGCAGGGAAATTTACTTACGTGGGAAACACAGAAAATTTGCGAAGAGACTTGGCAACGTATTACGATTTCTTCTCTGAAAACTTAGTGCGCGATGCACCAATCATATCCATTCCTTACATTGATGCTTTTGGCACGGGTAAGAGTCCGGTGTAATAGTAGCAGATAAAATAACGAGTTACAGCTGTTTTTGGTATGTTAAACTTGTACAATAATCAATGAAGGGCTATTATAATAATTAATTAAATGTGTAATCATGAGGATACAAGCCGATCAAGAGGTTTGATGTGGTCGACTGGTGCCGCAAAAATGGTCTCGAGGTGATTCAGGCAGCCTTTTCTGGTTACGGTTTTTAACCTAGTTATGTATTTTTTTTAAACACTTGTTTCTTGGTCTTCCTCAGCCCTACAACCCTTTGTTCATTTCGATTCTCCTTCAGCGCAAGAGATCAAAATTCCTCTCTCGAAGCTCACTTGGTGGGAAATCATTTCTGCGTGACAAAATGAACACTAAGATCATTACAGCAAAGTCGTCCAAGACCATGCATGTAAAGGAGTGTGAAGGGCAAGTTAACCATTGAACTTGTATATCTATCTCGACAGGTCTGTTAACTTCCATAACACTCCCATGCTATTACCAAGGGAAATTCATCGGTGTTGTTGGTACCGATATTAGCATGGAAGACCTTCTATCGGAAATAACATATTTTCAGAGAGGCCAATCAAGCTACGCTTTTATGGTGGACAGTTCTGGGAGGACCATGATGCACCCTCTTTTACCAGCCCCTTCA